AAAAATAAAATAGGCGCTTATGAAAGAATCAAATCGGCGCAAATTAATTAAAAGATTGGAATTATTATCAAAACATGTGATACAAGTGGAAAATAGCAATGAATTTAATAAATATCATAATCAAACTGAACTCTGTGAAAAAATTATGTATTTACAATAAGTAGTTTTAGAGTAATAAATTTTTCAAATGTTATTACCAATCAAGTCAGTCTTTTTAGCCTTAATTTTGAGAAAATGGTTGAGGGGTACAAGAAATGATTTTACCAGAAACATGTACATTCCATATCACTTTTTGCTTTTCAAATTTCTTAGATATATATTTTTTTTAATCATTTATAACAAAGACGTTGAAATAATATGCATTTTGTTCATAAAACAGAGAAAAATCACAAATTTACAAAATTGACAGTATGGTAAATTTGACACAAAAAAGCATCAAAATATGACAAAACTTTCTTATATTAACACCTAGCTATAGTTTTTTTAAGTTAAATTTATTCAAATTGGTCCACTTCATCATTATTGAAAGTATGAAAAAAAAGTTTAATTGTGGAACTGTGAATTTTTTCACGATAATAGCCCAAAAATTGGTAAAAATTGATGAAGAATGGGAAAATCATCAAAATTGGGTACTTTCAAAGGGCCGTAGCAAAAAAAGAAGTGCACCACCATATGATGTTTTCTTCACAAATTATTTTTTTAGTCATATAAACCCAAAAATCAGGTTAAGAAAAAAAGTTTAATTCTAGAAAGTTTTGGCTCCTCAGAGGTGTACATCCTTAAGGAGAAATGATAAAGATTTCGCCTGGTCTCACTGAAGCTTAATGCAAAAAATGAAAGAAATTAATATTCAGTGAATGTGAATTAAAATAAAAATTTACAGTGTTTAAAACTAAACTTGTTGTAAATTTAACTTATGACAAAAACAATTGCTTCAAGAATAAGATCCAACATAAAATTTCTCACTTTCAAAAAGCTACAGTGACCGGAAACATTGATGTTCAATGCCGGCAATCTATACATACAACCTTGTCTTTGTTTTAATTTCCAAAAATGAGCAATTTAGATTCATAATATTTCATCCTGTTTTAACAAATACTTTATTGTTTTCAACTGAAAATAATTTCTTAGATTCTAAATTAGTTTTTGAATTAAAAACTTATTTGTATTTTATATTCACTGTCTCGTTAATTCAAAGCACATGGGGTAGTATTAACGGGGATCGTATTTTATAACGTTTTAGAATCAAAAACTTTACTTCACATATTATACCTATAATTTTAATTTGCTTATATTTTAAATATTCGGAAATAATGAATCCACAAACTAGATGGAATAATTTATATAATCTCGTCTTAGGCGAGAAACATAATGGTATAAAGAAGTCCGTCCGTGCTTATGTCTGTCCGTCTGTCAACAGTGGCGAAGGAGTGCGCTAACACAAACTTCTGAAATTGACGCGACAAAAAACCCCACACATCTAGTATAATATAATAGTCAAATAGTCTGTAAGTTAGCCAGTGTCATACATCATTTCTCTTTTTATTTTCAATGATTTTGCTAATGAGAGGGAAAGGACAAAAACAGACTTTCGTTTCTAAAGCGGCGTAAAAGGTTATTTCGAACAATTTTTCATTCCGACGGATGGTGTTTCTGAAGGTTTGCGTGGCAACAACATCATGAGATCTGATACTGATAAATGCATGTGATCTCTTGTATTACCGGATAATAAAGTAGGTGAATATATATTTAAATGTGGGTTTCAAACGACCAATTTGCAATTTTTTCAAAAAGTGCGCCAGCAAGCTTAGGAAAACTTGTACTATGACGTCAGATTCAATGTTCTGAGGAAAGACAACTCTTTTCTTCAAAACGAACGAGAAAAAAACCTGAAAATTACTCATAACTTTTTTGAAAGGTCGGTGACATATACTTTTTTTTGCTTTATTTTGAAGAGTACACATGACACTTTCCTTCTTGAAATTTTTATGAAGAAGTCACTGGTAAATATTTTTCAATTATGGAAACGTTTTTCATTCTTACGTTTTATTTTTGGCGGGAATGAAATAAATCATATTTTTTAAGATCAAAACAGTAAGTCTCAAACTCTTGAACCTGTATTTGATAGACACAAATCTACTGTTTAACGTGAAACAAGAATTATGCTTGTAAGTTTGATATAATGGGATTTTTGGGGAGTTTAAATAACAAGCACATATCATGTTAATATTAGGGAAAACACGAAACTGAGGTTGCTATAGTGACAAAACTAAGTCGGTGACCCCCATTTTTTTTCATCATATTTTGTTCCTCAAATCATGAAATACCTTCACACAAAATTTTAAGGAAAAATCACTGGTAGAACGGAATAGGCTGTTTGGTCTTTAAAGTACATGATGTGAAGTTGACGTTGCATGGTGTTAGCTTGCAGATGGATACTGCTCGGTCATACACTTCGATAGCTATGATAACAAATAAAATGAATAGCTAAAATGTATGGTGCTGACATGTTATTAATAAATGTTGAGCTGAGAATGTACGATGTTATATCATTGTGATATTACGATAGATCTATCATGCCATCTGTTGATTTAAAACACCATGATGCACAGTTGAAAGTACATGATGTTAAGTTAAGATAACACGATGCTACACTACTATATTGAAACGAAAGGCTTACCATACAATTTGTTGACTTAAAACAACACGATGCAACGTGTTAAGCTAAGATGCTCATTTGAAACTACACGACGTACAGTTGAAATTTTGTAATGTTAAGCTACGATAGTACGATGTTATATCATTATAATGCCACAATAGACTTATTATACAATTTGCTCATTTAGAACTACACAACGTACAGTTGAAAGTACGTGATGTTAAGCTAAGATGGCACGTTGTTATATCATTAGAATGTCACGATAGGCTTACCACACGATATGCTCGTTTAAAACTACACGACGTACAGTTGAAAGTGCGTGATGTTGAGCTATGATAGCAATATCTTATGTCATTATAATATCACGGTAGGCTTGCCATACAATATGCTTATTTAAAACTACACGACGTACAGTTGAAAGTACGTGTTGTTCAGCTAAGACAGCACGATGTTATATCATTATAATGTCACGATAGGCTTATTATACAATTTGCTCATTTAAAATTACACCACGTACAGCTGAAAGTGCGTGATGTTAAGCTAAGATAGCACGTTGTTACAAAATTTCAACTGTACGTCGTGTAGTTTCAAGTGAGCATCTTAGCTTAACACGTTGCATCGTGTTGTTTTAAGTCAACAAATTGTATGGTAAGCCTTTCGTTTCAATATAGTAGTGTAGCATCGTGTTATCTTAACTTAACATCATGTACTCTCAACTGTGCATCATGGTGTTTTAAATCAACAGATTGCATGATAGACCTATCGTAATATCACAATGATATAACATCGTACATTCTCAGCTCAACATTTATTAATAACATGTCAGCACCATACATTTTAGCTATTCATTTTATTTGTTATCATAGCTATCGAATTGTATGACTGAGCAGTATCCATCTGCAAGCTAACATCATGCAACGTCAACTTCACATCATGTACTTTAAACCCAACGTTACGTGTGTTTGGCATATCATCACAACATCGTGACTTATCATTATACTATCACGACTAAAGCACTTGTCATTGCAAGTCAACATTGTGCAAATTCAACTTAGCATATTGTAATTTAGATTTAGCATTTTGATGACTCAATTCAACATCACGCTGTCTTAACTTTACATTTTAAGCTTCAGCATAACGTTTTGTAAATATCTAATATATGACAGCTGAGGCTTTCCATAGACTAATGTCAAATTGTTCTAAATATCTGAAGAAATAAAACAAAACATCTGTTATTTGATTTTTAAGGATGTGAATTTAAGCATGAATTCAATTTGGGTACTCCTCATTACAGAATCATGGATCGTTTGGAGGTCGGTTCAAACCCGTTTTTCTATGATTCAATATGGATTCAAAATTAAATTGGTTGAACTGTATAGTAAATAAGGATACATCTACAAAAAAACACAGAATGGAAACTTTTGTCTGTATCATAAACGTAGGTGAAAAAACTGTCAAAATAGGTGCAATTTGGGTACCCTCACGTTACATGTTTTAATGTAAATTTAAGCATTTTCAAAACATAAAAACTTAAATTTAAATGAGTCTCATTCATTCAACATGAATATGTCTTAGATTTAGAAATATTAATCCCACAAAATCCTATGAAAATGGGAAATAAGAAGCAACCTTAACCTGAAAGATAACATATATCAAAAATAACGTACCAGCTAAAGTTAGTGAACACACAGGGAAATTACTAACAACCTTAAAAAGATAACATATATCAAAATAACATACCTTCTCTAGTCAGTGAATAATAGTGACATTACTAATAGCCTTAAAAAGATAGCATTTATCAAAAATAACATACAAGCTCTAGTCCGTGAACACACAGGGAAAATACTAACAGCTTTAACAAGATAGCATATACTAGTATCAAAACTAACGTACCAGCTAAAGCCAGTGAACACACAGGGAAATTACTAACAGCCTTAAAAAGATAACGTATATCAAAACTAACGTACCAGCTAAAATCAGTGAACACACAGGGAAATTACTAACAACCTTAAAAAGATAACATATATCAAAAATAACTTACCAGCTAAAATCAGTGAACACACAGGGAAATTACTAACAACCTTAAAAAGATCATATATCAAAAATAACTTACCAGCTAAAATCAGTGAACACACAGGGAAATTACTAACAGCCTTAACAAGATAACATATACTAGTATCAAAACTATCGTACCAGCTAGATTCAGTGAACACTCAGGGAAAATATTAACAACCTTAAAAAGATAACATATATCAAAAATAACTTACCAGCTAAAGTCAGTGAACACACAGGGAAATTACTAACAGCCTTAACAAGATAACGTATAACAAAAATTACATACCAGCTCTAGTTGGTGAATAGTTCCTAAATAGTTTGTACATAAATCAAGTTTTCATCTTTTTCATCCTGCAGTCAACTTTATATTGACAGATTAATTGAACTTAGTTTTTACACAGTATTTAACTTTATTGCGCTTGGTAGCAACAGATGTATTTAAGCCAGTTAATATATAAACAATTTATCACAAATACTGGTTTCTTAACAGGGATGCAGCTTTACTCAGGACTTTATACATTTGACAATATGCTGAATACAAAATTAAGCCTAATTTACTTCTTCATAAATAATGTAAATATATACATGTGCTATATGTATACGTCAAAACTTCATGAATGTCACTTTTCTAATTTTCTAATTTATAATTTAATCAATAAAACGGGACATTTTATAGTATGATTATAGTATTGACAGCCCATTTAATCCTTGATGGTGAATTTATGAACTAAACTATGACTTCTCAAGTTAAAAAAAGGTCCTGCGATTTCTCTATCATTTGAACTAAACTATGACTTCTCAAGTTAAAAAAAGGTCCTGCGATTTCTCTATCATTTGAACTAAACTATGACTTCTCAAGTTAAAAAAAGGTCCTGCGATTTCTCTATCATTTGAACTAAACTATGACTTCTCAAGTTAAAAAAAGGTCCTGCGATTTCTCTATCATTTGAACTTATCTTTTTTGTTTGTTTTTCCTCAAATCACGTGAAATAAATACGTTCTACTTGAGAAAAACAGTTGCGGGTAAAACATGCGGAATGGACGCATCATTTCGAATTGGTCGACTCGAGGTAATACTCGTAAAATGGATGTTTTAACGTTTATTGTCCGTTTACTAGTATGTCACGCTAAAATCTACTCCGTTTGCTTCTTCTGTTCCCTCATTTTCTTCCGCTGATATAAACAATGTAAAGGCTGTAGGTTACAGGCTGCAAGGCACGGTTATGGACTTTGCTCTGTGGTTCTGCCTCTCTTTTTTCTGAATCTTAATTTTTGTCGGAGTCATTTCAAATATTTCTTTTGTTTTAAGACCGTACGGTCACCTTTAATTGCTTACTTCCACGTCATTTGAACTCTTGTAGACATGCCACCTCTCCTTATCTTTCTATAGACATGCAAACAAATAAATATTTTCCTCCCATTCTATGTTTAGAATCAACAATTGATGAATTGAATCAGATGTTATTTCTCTTAACATTTCACTATTTTAACTGTTATTAAAATTGAATATTTAATGATTTAGTTACAATTTGTTTGGTTGCTTTCTAATTGACATTTGCACCACATTTGTTAATATTAATTGTTTAAGGTCAGAAAGTACCTAACAGCCACTGATGCCTATTCCCTAGGACCCAACACATCGTGTTTCTGCAGTACAGAATATGACACACACTATGATATAAGTTAACGTGGTTCAAATGAAGGGCGGATGCTTCTTCATGAGCATTGAACTAATGAAATAAACGACAGTGATTTTGATAATCTATAGACCTTACTGATCTTACGGACAATATTAGCCGACCCAACAGAGCTCAAAGATTTGAATGATAATAAGATTGCGGAATTCAAAATAGGAATCAGGTACATTCAGTCATGAAAACGCAAAGGACCATATAATTCTACTGACCAGAGGGAAAGATACAGAAGCAATTTAGCATATAATTACTAATGAGTGTAATAGCACATAATACAATGGACATATGAGGTAATTTTGTTATTGGATTTTTTCTACTTCGTGTTTATTAAACCAACTGTTTATCTACTATCTTAATTTGAATATGATTTTTATAGTACGTACCTTTACTATCACTTCTCTCTACAGATAAGTCTAATCATGCGTGTTAATATGTGGTATATATCAATGTTTACTTGAAAAAGCTATTCAGGGGCGTTTCCAGGATATTTGAAAGAGGGGCGTAGAATGCAAAAAATTTTTTGGACCTTTTTTTGTCAAAAAAAACATAAAATAATTGTGAAATGCACTAATGTAACGGTTCCTGACTTGGAGCATGTATATTTTATAGTTAAAGTGTCAGGGTTCGATATTTTTATGCCGAATTCTCTCCATTAATTGTCTATGGTATATTAAAATGATTGGATGGATCTTAACAGCAGTAGACCAATAACGAGAAATTCCAAATTCTATGGTATAGGGCGTTACTTTACATTTCAATAGTCCTAGGCCAGGATTTTATGAACGGGAGGCGTAATTCCGGTTGCCCTGGTATAGGGTCCATGGGGGAAATTCAGAAGCTCCTGGATTTCAACAATTTAGCATCAAATTATGAAGTATTATAACAGACTCTATGATAGACAAATTGGTGAAAATAGTCTGCCTTCGGATCATTCAAATTATGTATTGATTAACATGTGGATATCAAATCTTTGGAAGAAGTTGTAAATTCAGTTAAAAGGTTATATGAAATGGGCATGAAAAATAAAAAATAAATCTTTAACGATAGCTTTTTCTGAACTTTTGATATATATATATAACTCTGTGGTCGGGTTGTTGTCTCTTTGACACATTCCCCATTTCCATTCTCATTTTTAATTTTATATATACCCGTTTTGTTAAAATATACCTTTTCACTGTTTTGGTCTTTTGGAAAATGTTGTTTGTGCTGTATTTAGACCCCTTTACCAAGAAATTTGTTTTTCATGCACACGTATAAAAATTACGGTTTTTATTCAACACAATCATAGGTTTGAACGATGTTTTCAATTTAGTAGATATAAAAAGATGTGGTATGAATGCCAATGAGACAACTCTCCATCCAAGTCACAATTTATAAAAGTAAACCATTATAGGTCAAAGTACGATCTTCAACACGGAGCCTTGGCTCACACCGAACAGCAAGCTATAACAGGCCCCAAAACTACTAGTGTAAAACCATTCAAACGAGAAAACCAACGGTCTAATCTATATAAGAAACGAGAAACACTTATGAACCACATCAACAAACGACAACTACTGAATATCAGATTCCTGACTTAGGACAGGTGCAAACAGTTGCAGCGGGTTTAAACGTTTTAATGGTACCAAACATTCACTCTTATCGGAAACAATAGTGTAACATTGTATTTATAATACCCCGTTCTAGATAGTCAAATCTGACCCCTTCCAATGCAAGGCGAAAAAAACATAACCCCATTTCAGACAATTTAGCTGAAAATGCAACCCCGTTTGTCGGAACATACCCGGTATCATATATATAGCGAGTATTCCCCGGGTAGATGTAGAATGGCCATTGGGGAAGTGTCACACAAAACAACCATTTCATGTATAGATTTACTGACCGCTTTGGTTGATTAAAAAAGGTGTCCAAGTCACCCATCGGATGGGGGAATCAGTATAAAAAGAAATCAGAGAGTGTGTTTAATTAATGAATATGATAAATTGCCATATTCAATACAATATAAGCAGATAACGATTTTTTTATTCTTTTTTTTTTTAAAGGGGGGGGGGGGGGCGTACGCCTATTACGCCCTTACCTGAACCCGCCTCTGCTATTTACACTAACCGCCGTCCTAAAAATTCAGCTATGGTCAACATCATGATTTACTGTTAAGTAGCTGTATGATTCAGTTTCAATTGGTCTGTGATTGGAGACAGTTGGATTTTCCATTTTAGTGTGTATGTTATAACTGTGATCGCAACTATCAGCGTTTCCCACTCTATATGTACACTGTGTCTAAACTAACCCGGCAAAAAATGTTTGGACTCAGTGTAGTATCTAATATTCGGTAGGATTTTTGTTTATCTACTAGTATTTGTTTTTTTTATGATAATGATGATTATAAATACACATATAACTATTTTCGATTGTGAGATGTAATATTTTCTACAACGGTTCTAAATTAACGGAGAAATAAGTAAAACGGCACGTCAAAATGATGAATTTTATTTAAGTGAACCTTGCCTCGAATTTGTTTAATTTCTCGTTAAATTGTGCACATTGCACGGAAAGAAAGATATTAAAACATGGAGATTGCAAGACTAGTCACTTTCAGCACCTCAATATTTGTATTAATGTGCATGGAACGAAAGAAATGGGTCATGTCAAAATTAAAAGACCCGTTTTTTTCAATGTTTACGACCCGGTTTCGTCCTAAAATTTCACAAAGCAGGACCCTGTTTTATCATAGAAAACAATGCATTATCGTATAACGTAGATTAAAATCCGTCGTTTAACGGGAGTTTGATGGTCAGTTTCTTTCAGAGGACAAAGTATCATCTATTTGAATCCCTAAACGCTTGAATTCCTGCTTTATTGGAATTTTTTTTTTTAATTTTGCTTTGTATAAAAACGAATACTTTTACGGCGAAATACAAAGAAATGAAGGTTGTAACGCAATTTGATGTTTAAGCTCTCTGTACTTATTTTATATGGATTATGTAAATTTAAACTTAGATAGTATATATGCACGGCCTTGAAAATTGAAGGACGCACATTTGATATTTGATTTATTGGACAACATAATGGTTATCTTTATAAATATTCCACTCTACCTAGGGGTGTAATCTTTCCTATGATCGTCTGAAAAAAATATTCTGAACATTAAATGATCATTATAAAGCAAGAGAATAAGGCAAAAATGTATAAAATTGAGAATGGAAACGGAGAATGCGTCAAAGAGACAACAACCCGACCAAAGAGCAGAAAACAGCCCAAGGCCACTAATGGGTCTTCAACACAGCGAGAAAATACCGCACCCGGAGGCGGGCTACAGCTGGCCCCTAAATAAAAATTTATAATAGTTCAGCTAAAATAGACATCACACTAAACTCCGAAACATATAAATGAATGCGGCGGGGTTAAATATGTTTTGTGGGATCTCAACTCCCCCCTATACCTCTAGCCAATGTGGCATAAACAATCACACAGAAATACGCACAGTAAAATTCAGTTTAAAAGAAGTCCGAGTCCGATGTTAGAATAGGTAACAGAAGAAACTAAGGAAAATGACAATGATTAACATAAATCAGCAAAGGACTACTAGCAGTTACTGACATGCCAGCTCCAGGCCTTTATTCAACTGACTGAAAGATTATGTCTTCATCGTATGAAAATCAAGCACAATCCCTCTCGTTAGGGTTTTAGTATCATACCATCATAAAATATACGATATAAAAACACAACCCGTATCATGCCAACAACTGGTTTTAGAATAAATGTGTTTATTTCGGATGCAAAGACCCT